TATATGTATGTATGTATGTGTGTGTATAAGGTATATTTGAAAATATAGGAAAGTTTTTGCCAGGGCAAGGGCATTTTTCATAGATGTCAGGCTGGGGCAAGCCGTCACATTTTATGTAGTAGAAATCCATATTTCTGTACATTAACTTAATCGTTTTTGTTGTTTCATTAATTGTTTTAATTTTTTTCTGGATATAATGGTAGAAATGTTCAATAGCCAGTGTTTTAAGGAAAATGTTTTTGTAGCCAACGCTCTAAGGAAATATTCACTAAAAATGTGAAAATGTGACAACTAGCCCCGGTCACTTTTACAAATAACCGTACGAGTATGAATGTTCACACAAAAGACCGTCAAGTGGATCCATTTGCCCATTAATAGCCATCAAGCAATATCCCCGAAGTGCTACCGTGATGTCTCACCGTGACCTTTTTCCCATTTGTTTTATAGCCCAGCAGAGAAAAAAATCTCAAATAAAACGTCCTTTTCTCTATCCACAGGGACCCCCGGGGGCTTCTGGAGCTGAAGGCAGACAAGGAGAGAAGGGCGCCAAGGTAACGCATCATTCCAAATCAATTCAACCCAGGCACATACTGCAGCCTCCACTGCCGTAATTAACGCACAGCGAGCCATGGGAGAAAAAGCACATCTCTGACAGAGTGACTCACTGTTAATAAGTGTGGAAAGACTGTCACTGTGGGACTGAAGTGTGTAGGCTGTATTTTAGCTTTAGTTCATCAACTTAACCCTTATAACCTAAATTGCGTATTTGAAGCATGCCGAGAGTTTTTAATGTTTCTCACCTTTAATTAGTCATTTATATAATATTATATAAATATATAATAATGTTTAAAAGGTACACTACTGTTCAAAAATGTCTTATGCTCACCAGGGTTCATTTATTTGATCAAAAATGCAGTAAAAACAGTAATATTGTGAAGTAGTATTATAATGATATATAACTGTTTTCTATTTTAATATATTGTAAAATGTAATTTATTCCTGTGATGGCAAAGCTGAATTTTCAGCATCATTACTCTAGTCTTCAGTGTCACATGATCCTTCAGAAATCATTCTAATATGCTGATTTGATGCTCAAGATTTATTTTTACTTTATTTTTTTTTATCAGTGTTGAAACAGTTGTGCTGCTTAATAGTTTTGTAGAAACCATGATACATTTTATTTCCAGGAGTGATAGATATATATAGCTAAATAATAAATATTTTTTTGATAAATAGAATAAATTTTGATAAATAGAAAGAATGTGCATACATTTGATAAATAGAAATTTAAACAGAAAAGAACAGCATTTATCTGGAACAGAATTTTTTATATAACAACGTAAAAACTTTTTGTTATATAACAATGTCACTTTTGATCAATTTAATTCATCCTTGCTGAATAGAAGTATTAAATTCTTTGAAAAACAAATCATATTGACACTAAAACTTTGAATGGTAGTATTGTTTAATTATTTAAAAAAAATTAATAAAAGTTTTTTTTCCTGTAACAGTGATATTTCAGTGGACATTGCATGCCAACTTTATGCATCAAAAAAATCTAAATATTATCTATATTCCTCTCTTCTCTTTAGGGTGAGGCAGGAGCTGAGGGTCCACCAGGTAAAACTGGACCAGTTGGCCCTCAAGGCCCTCCTGGAAAGCCTGGTCCTGAAGGTCTACGTGGAATCCCTGGTCCTGTGGTGGGTTCTCATGTCACTCATCGACTAACTATACATCATATTACATACACATATTTACAGTGGCCCCAAATAGTATTAGGACACTTAAGATGCACTTGAAGTACTGTGAATTTAATATTATAAATATATAAGTGGTGTCTGCAAATATATGATGTTTAATCTTTTCTTTAAACTTTCTCATGCTCATGAATATTAATTATGTGACATGGCATTTTCCCAATAATTCTAACTGATTACTACTCACCACTGCCAATGCTAGCTAGCAGCTTTTGCGTGGTCTTAAAGTTGTCAGTGTACAAGGTCAGCTATAATTCTTTTCTTTGCACTGCGGACAAGCAATGCAATGGAATTCATGCATTTTTAAGTGTGGCTTAAGTACTCAAATAATTTGTTTGGCCACTGAATAGCCTAAATGCACACACACACACACACACACACACGAGAACAGAATTATATGAAACACCTCACGGAATAATAAATCACCTCTCTTTGAGTTTACAATCTGTATCTTTCTCTTGTACACTCTGTGTCTGTTTCTTGTCTATTTGAAAACAGGTTTTGTAGTATCTGGGGCTGGGCTATTAATCATTGTCCAGCCCACAGTAAATCAATGCCAGACCATAAGCAAAAAACAGTGCAATAATGGCTGTTGTAATTGGATGGATTTTCACAGGGTGAACAAGGACTTCCTGGTGCTCCTGGACAAGACGGCCCTCCTGGACCAATGGTAAGAAGAGAGACCCCATTGCCCTTGCTCGTTCTTTCTGTCTATCTTTCACCCTCTCTCTCCTTGCTGTGTGTTCGTGTACATGTGGGTATATGTGAGCAAATTGAATTTTCACTGTTGGTTCTTTGATATGTAGGGTCCTCCTGGTCTCCCCGGCCTGAAAGGAGACCCTGGCTCTAAGGGTGAGAAGGTGAGTGACATTCTATTTCTTTTCCTGCCATTTTTATTAATGTGGTGTCTTACATTTCAGAGAGGCTCAAGGTCAAAGATAAAGACTAGACTTGGTCACTCCAGGAAGTCAGAGGAAAAGTTTCACAGCCAGGGGAAAAGTTAAAAGTCTATTATTGTCTTTTAGTGTCACAAGTTGGGCAAAATTTTTTATTTTATTTCTTCATATTTTGCCATGGAAATGTATTTATTTAAGGTAAATAGTATTTTGATATGTTTTTCCCCCATCTATCTATCTATCTATCTATCTACTCATTTTATTTTTTACATATTAGTTTTTTTTTTAAGTTTTAGGGAGGTTTTTTTTACATTTAACTTTTTTATTTATTTTAATCTTTAGCATTTTATATTTCTGAATTTTTTTCATATTTAGCCATGAAATATATATTTATTCATATAATGTAAATAATAAATAATATAGTTTTTCAGCTTTTACTTAGTATTTTAGTTTTTAGTTTTTTGTATTTTGTATTATTTTAGTATTTTGTCTTTTTTTTTTAAAATACTTTTTTAATGATTAGTTTTTTACATTCATTCATTAATTTTTATATTATTTTTTATTCTTATTTTTTTACATTTTCTTTTTTCTTATTAATTTATAAAAACTTTGGTACAATGTGAATTCATTGTCTTTGATAATTTAGTTGTTGGGTCCAGGCTCTGTGCATAAAAAATTGCTGTCTCTACAACTTTTTGCTTAAAAGTTGACCATCAGATCTTCTGACCTGTGACATCCACTATCATATGTGTTTTTCTTCCAGGGTCACCCCGGTCTTATCGGTCTCATCGGACCCCCCGGTGAGCAGGGAGAGAAGGGAGATCGGGGTTTGCCTGGTCCTCAGGGCACTGCTGGCAGCAAGGGTGATTCGGTGAGTCACTAATGATTTATTTGTCCTTTCCACCCCACCACATAACTAATGTTGTACCTCCAGCAGCGCACCTATCAGGACTTCTCCTGTAATGCTTGCAAATTAAAGTAACGACCGACTGAAACAATAACGTCTGCGCTTATTGCATCTGTGTACATCATCGTAATTGTGTTATGGATGAAGCTGTCATGAAAGGTTCTCAGAGCCAGCGGTAATTCTGTTACACCAGACATTCCCATCAAACACCAGTGCGATTACATTTTTTCACAGTCGAACTGTGAAATGTTTGTTTTTCTTTGCCTCGTTGAGGAACCATACAACACCTACTTAATGCAGTCAAACGCTTCAGCAAATCTATAGAAAACCTTCATTGAATAAACAATTAGAAATTGCATTGGACTCATCTGGCCCTTTTTTCAGTGGTTTAAAGCAATGCAACTTTAAACATATTCTGATTAAGCTTAATGAAATTGTAGTCTCCCCTTATGTGAGTTTGGAAAAACTAAAAATTGAAACCGACCCCATCTCACTAATGTCTCCCACAAGACAGATTTGCGATCTGTTACTGCATTTAGTAACAGAGGATGCATTTCTCCCCAAAGAATGAACTCAAAAGTCCTTGACTCTAATGAAATGTAATGATCAGTGTGTAATACACACCAGAGAATCATAATTAACAAGAGTAATTTTCATCTCTGTGACAAAAGAATCGTAATTTTAAAGACAATTCTTAGAAAGAAAATGAATCTCATCACCTCACAGTTGTTAAAAGTTAACCAACATCTTACATGCTTGTTTTATAGATCCATCTATTTTCTAACCTTCTGCTCTTTAAACTGTAGGGTATCAGTGGTGCTTCTGGTCCGATTGGTCCATCTGGTCCTCCTGGATTGCCTGTGAGTCTTTGCTCTGTTGCTGGCATTTTGCATTCAGTGTTGTGCTATCGTCAAATTGTACACTTTCTGAAATTGTCACATGATCTATTTATAACATTAAAATAAATTTTTAAAGAGCTATTAGATATGTTTAACAACTAACCATGATCTTGCATAAAATTATAAGACAGCATGCAAAGGAATGAGTTTATACATCAGATTATTCTTAAAATTGTAATTTTGGACTGTCCCACCTCAGCAGTCTTGCCAGTATTGACTGTATTCATCATTAAAATGTATACAAGTTATACAAATTAATACAAATCATAATTTTGACATACAATATCAATCAAAAGTCTGGCATCAGTAAAGTTTTTTTTTAACAAATTAATATTTTTATTTACCAAAGACAAATTAAATAGATTAAAAGTGACTGTAAAGACATATATAATGTTACAAAAGATTATATTTCAAATAAATGCTGTTATTTTGAACTTTCTATTCATCAAGAAATCCTTAAAATTATTAGAGTGATTTCTGAAGGATCATGTGACACTGAAGACTGGAGTAGTGTCTGTTGAAAATTCAGCTTTGTCATCACATCAAACACCAGTGCGATTACATTTTTTCACAGTCGAACTGTGAAATGTTTGTTTTTCTTTGCCTCGTTGAGGAACCATACAACACCTACTTAATGCAGTCAAACGCTTCAGCAAATCTATAGAAAACCTTCATTGAATAAACAATTAGAAATTGCATTGGACTCATCTGGCCCTTTTTTCAGTGGTTTAAAGCAATGCAACTTTAAACATATTCTGATTAAGCTTAATGAAATTGTAGTCTCCCCTTATGTGAGTTTGGAAAAACTAAAAATTGAAACCGACCCCATCTCACTAATGTCTCCCACAAGACAGATTTGCGATCTGTTACTGCATTTAGTAACAGAGGATGCATTTCTCCCCAAAGAATGAACTCAAAAGTCCTTGACTCTAATGAAATGTAATGATCAGTGTGTAATACACACCAGAGAATCATAATTAACAAGAGTAATTTTCATCTCTGTGACAAAAGAATCGTAATTTTAAAGACAATTCTTAGAAAGAAAATGAATCTCATCACCTCACAGTTGTTAAAAGTTAACCAACATCTTACATGCTTGTTTTATAGATCCATCTACTTTCTAACCTTCTGCTCTTTAAACTGTAGGGTATCAGTGGTGCTTCTGGTCCGATTGGTCCATCTGGTCCTCCTGGATTGCCTGTGAGTCTTTGCTCTGTTGCTGGCATTTTGCATTCAGTGTTGTGCTATCGTCAAATTGTACACTTTCTGAAATTGTCACATGATCTATTTATAACATTAAAATAAATTTTTAAAGAGCTATTAGATATGTTTAACAACTAACCATGATCTTGCATAAAATTATAAGACAGCATGCAAAGGAATGAGTTTATACATCAGATTATTCTTAAAATTGTAATTTTGGACTGTCCCACCTCAGCAGTCTTGCCAGTATTGACTGTATTCATCATTAAAATGTATACAAGTTATACAAATTAATACAAATCATAATTTTGACATACAATATCAATCAAAAGTCTGGCATCAGTAAAGTTTTTTTTTAACAAATTAATATTTTTATTTACCAAAGACAAATTAAATAGATTAAAAGTGACTGTAAAGACATATATAATGTTACAAAAGATTATATTTCAAATAAATGCTGTTATTTTGAACTTTCTATTCATCAAGAAATCCTTAAAATTATTAGAGTGATTTCTGAAGGATCATGTGACACTGAAGACTGGAGTAGTGTCTGTTGAAAATTCAGCTTTGTCATCACAGTAATAAAAGAAATATTATTTAAAATATATTTAAATAGAAAACAGTTATTTTAAATTGCAATAATATTTAACAATATTTCTGGTTTTACTGTATTTTTGATAAATAAATGCAGACTTGGTGAGCATAAGAGACTTCTTCCAAAAACATTTAAAAATCATACAGACTCCAAACTTTTGGACGGTAGTGGGAATTGATATTAATTTCATTTTGGAACAATTAGAACTATTTAAATCAAATTAATTCTACAAATTCAAATTCTCAAATTCAAAATTGTAATTTTAACTATATTTGGCAGGCTCAACTTTTAATGCATGTAAATTTTGTAAGTCAGTGTTCATAAAATGCATTTCCATTTTCCTTTAGGGTCCACAAGGGCCAAAGGGATCCAAGGGTTCGTCTGTAAGTACCACTTTATCACTGATCAATTCAGTGGGTTACATATAATGACGTTAGAAATGGACTGGTTTTCAAATGGTTTTCAAATCTTCTTCCCGCAGGGTCCCGCTGGTCAAAAGGGAGACACCGGCTCGGCCGGACCTCCTGGTCCTCCTGTAAGTGAACTTCTGCTTGCTTCAAAGCGATTTTAATTATATAAAATGCAAGAGGCTCATGGAGCGTACACTCATTTTCTCATTCCGTAGGGTCCTCCTGGTGAGATCATCCAGCCTCTGCCTATCCAGATGCCCAAGAAGTCCCGTCGCTCCATTGACATGCAAGCGGACGAGGCCGGGACCATGCTGGACTACGGAGGGGGCATGGAAGACATCTTCGGCTCCTTGAATAACCTCAAACAGGACTCCACAAGGGCCAAAGGGATCCAAGGGTTCGACTGTAAGTACCACTTTATCACCAATCAATTCGAAGGGCTTGTTATAATGATAATGAGAAAAGGGCTTATGATTTTTAAATGTTCTTCCTGCAGGGTACTGCTGGTCAAAAGGGAGACACCGGCTCAGCTGGACCTCCTGGTCCTCCTGTAAGTGAACTTCTGCCCGCTTCAAGGAGATTTTTAATTAAATAAAATGCAAAAGTCTCATGGAGCGTACACTCATTTTCTCATTCCGTAGGGTCCTCCTGGTGAGATCATCCAGCCTCTGCCTATCCAGATGCCCAAGAAGTCCCGTCGCTCCATCGACATGCAAGCGGACGAGGCCGGCACCATGCTGGACTACGGAGGGGGCATGGAAGACATCTTCAGCTCCTTGAATAACCTCAAACAGGACATCGAGCGCATGAAGTACCCCATGGGCACGCAAAACAACCCCGCACGAAGCTGTAAAGACCTACTGCTCGCTCACCCAGAATTCTCAGATGGTAAGCAAATGAGGTGGGGGGTAAAGGAGACACTGTTGAACAGATAAATCTGGAAAACATGCAGCGTTTGCTGGTTTCCAAGCTACTCGGGAGGTATTGGCTGTGTTTCTAAAATTCTAAGCCCGCCACTCAGGAGAATTTGAATAACAGCAGCAGCAGTCGACAGCTGACTGGGAAGATGTTTAGCATTCTGCGGACTCCAGCGAGAGCTAACCTCTCCCTCCCAAATCATGGCTTACAAAATGCCAGATCTTACACTGACCTTTCAGAGCTGGTTTTACCGCACTCGCATTAGCCTGCGATTTTATTTACACAACGCATCGCCACTGCTGATGCCTGTGAAGTGTGTGTTTTTAGCTGTGGAAATGAATAGAAAGCCAGGATATCTTTGTATATGATCTAAATGATTTCCTACTGTACCTGTGGTCGTTCCAGACACTGATGTCTGATGGGGGTTTTTTCTCTCAGGTGAATACTACATCGATCCCAACCAGGGATGCCCCGGGGACTCCTTCAAAGTGTACTGCAACTTCACAGCAGGAGGCGAGACCTGCATCTTCCCTGATAAAAAGTCAAATGGAGTGAGTGATATTCTGGAAGAATTAGCCAATAACAGCCGGAAAAGATCACAACATCTTACCTCTGTCACATACAATGGGTTTTCTCCTAAAGACCATAGGAGAGCCTGAATCAGTCACTTCAGAGATGGTTTTTTTTTTGCGTGATTGTTACTTATTGGAGATGTAGATCCAAACACATTGTTCCCCTTATATAGCAAAAATTGTAAATATGCACTTCTACATAGTTTTTTTTTTTTTTTTAGAATTACTTGAAATGTTTTGTCTTTCCAACAGCTTATAGTGTTTATCTGTGCATTCAGATCCAAAAGATCAGGAAAAAAAGGTTCAAATTAGATCAAATTTGAGTGGAAACCTTATTCTCAACATTAAAATAATTGCTTTATGGGAATAACTGCTTTTCTCATGCTGTGTTTAACAAAGCTGTGTATTTCAGTGAGATGGATTTTCATTTCATTCCAATTGTTGGAACAGATGCTGTATGAAAAATAGCTGGGTTTAATTTTATTTAATTTTCTGCTAAAGTAAATATACTGTTCATTGAAATCTATGGGAGCAGCTGGTCTTTTACTGTAATGTTTTGGGGTTTTTTTCACGTTTTTCTTTCTGTCATCTTTAAGGTGAGGATATCTTCATGGCCCAAAGAGGTTCCTGGCTCCTGGTTCAGTGAATTTAAGCGTGGGAAAATAGTAAGTGCACTTTCTGGTTCTTCTTTCATCTTCTCCTTTATGAAAAACACCATCTTGTCCTTCTAAACTAAAAGGGCCTGAGTGGTCTGCTTGGTCTTTATTCTTTACTCAACCATTGGACAGACACCAGTAAGAGCTGAGCTTTTAAAAACTGCTGTCACTGTAGCCCTGGATCCATCAAGAAGCAGAGCACGCACACACACACACACACACCGCATTTATATTTGATGTAGTTGAGAGTTATGAAGGTGCCGCTGCACCTCTGTGAAACACACCGGCTTTATGTTTCTGGTGTCTGTTCTGACTGTTTTCTACTTTGTCAGAAGCAATGGTTTTTCTATTATTCAGAGTTCCAACTTTACCCGTTTTAAATCAATGTATTATTGCCTTTGATTTTTTTTTTTTTTATTCAGAGTTCCAACTTTACCAGTTTTAGATCAATTTATTGGTGCCTATGAAACCAGTGACTTGCTTTCAAGTTAATACTTCATAATTTTTCCTCATCTTTTAAGATCTGATTATAATTAAGTTGCAACTTATTAACAAAACAAACCTAAATAAATTATATTATATTATATTATTTATATTATTAACTTTAAAATTAACTTAAGAAAATTTAAGATATTTAAAAAGGGAAAATAAGAGGGTATTTTTATAACTTATAAAATTAACAAATTAAAAAAATATATAAATACATATTCAAAAATAAGAGGATATTATTGAGGTCCCCAAACATAATAATAATAATAATAACAACGAGTTAATCGTTTGGCTTTGTGTGATGTTTTGAACATTGCTGTTGTAAAATATCCAGCTATTATTGCAGATTAATATTTTTAAATATTTTTGTAAAGAATAATTAGTGCTGAATAATAATAATAACAATAATATTTTTTATAATAATAATAATAAATATTAAATTAATAAATAATAATTGTTATTATGTGTACTGTGCCACATATTTAATTTTAAAAAACTAACATTTATACAAAAACATATTTGGTGTGCCAAGTGAAAATGCTGCTGGTGAACAAATCCTTAAATGTCGAATCCTGAAAACCTTTCTATCTAACCTTTCTAAACCATTCTAACCTTTCTTTTTTTGTTTTCACCCTCAAGCTTCAATACGTGGATGCAGAAGGCAACTCAATAAACATGGTCCAAATGACGTTTCTCAAACTACTGACAGCCTCCGCCAGGCAAAACTTGACCTACAGCTGCCACCAGTCGGTCGCCTGGCACGATGCCACTACGGACAGCTATGACAGAGCACTACGCTTCCTCGGCTCCAATGACGAGGAGATCTCATACGACAACAACCCCTTCATCAAGGCCCTGTCAGACGGCTGTGCGGTGAGTCTTCAATCATAGATTTAAATATGCGTCATTTAAATATGCAACGCACGTTTCTGACCTTTTCTCGTCCTATAGGTGAGGAAGGGCTACGGAAAGACGGTACTGGAGATTAACACTCCCAAGATCGATCAGGTTCCGATCATCGACGTGATGTTCACTGACTTTGGGGATCCCAACCAGAAATTTGGATTCGAAGTTGGTCCAGTCTGCTTCCTTGGCTAAAAAACACAGACAAAGAAAACAGTACCAATAACTTGGCAGGGTAGGATGGGTTAGCGCACGAGTCAAGACTTTTTTTCTTGATCTCATCAAACCATCAAGCCCCTGTTCCTGCCACATGCAAGTTTTGAATAAAAAAATGGGGTAGCGAACACGTCTTACCTTGTATGTATGTATTACCCAGGAAAATACTTGTTGCCCTTGTAGGGCAAGGCTCACATGACATGAAACCTGTTATGGAACGAAAAGGTGAAGGACAACGTCAAGCCAAGGCAATCGGTGAACCTGGGAGGTCCACAAGACGGAGAAAGGGAAGACCTCTCATCCGGAGTCTATCGGTGCAGTGCAAAAAAAAGAAAAGAAAAGAAAAAAAGACGACAACAATGGTGCTTGTTCAAAATTCAAAAAAAGAGGTGCTATGAGAAAGAGGATGTATTTTAATAAAACTGTAATTATTATTTTGTACATTATTGTTGTTTCTGAATCCACTTTCAAAACTTGCATGTGTATCACAATTGCATCTGGCTCTTAATTTCCAACTCCCTCACGGACGTTTATAAGTTATAGAACTGAATAAATAAAGAATTAAATAATGATATTTTGTGGATGAATACTGTGTACTTATTATTAAGCAAATAAAATACAGCATTCAAACAGTTCCCTATTATTAATTGTAATGTAAGTCCTTTGTATATATTGACCATCCCGAAGTCGCTCACAGTTCGGCCCAATGAACACCTCAAGAGGAAGATTCAACAGCACATGCAACGCAACTAATATTGTCTCCTGTGCTTGATTTAAGTAATCTTGCCATTCATTCACATTAATTTAATTTTTGTTGGTTATTTGTTTGTTTTTAGGATTTTTTTTTTTTTCAGTTGTAGATCGGTCGTATACCTCAAATCTTGAAAATAACCATACCGATGCAAGTATGGTGTGCCCTGTATATACCTTGGTTATACAGTTAAGTTTATATATTTTGGGTGGGGATTTTTTTTTTTTTATTGGGAAAAAAGATCTGTTAGGCCTCTTTTTGTTCAAAACCTTCTGTGAATGCAATGCTAAGGCCTTTTCGGTGACCCATTTTTGTAACTAAAATGAGAAATTGTTTTAAATGTGCTTTTTATGGTTCATTTCATTATTAAAAACTGGATTCCAACCAACCATGAAATTGAGGTGTGGGTTGTTTGCTTGCTTCGTCAGGTCAGACCGTTTTATTGTCAGTTCGGTATGTGCATTTGTATGATTTTACCTGTTTACTATGGTTAAAAAAAAAAGGTTTTAAATGACTGTGCAATTCATCTGACCGATACCTTCGGTTTCAAAGATGCCATTTTAGTGCCAATAAGTGACCTGTAATATTCCAGAATTGCATTGGTTAAAATAAATGTTTGCTAACTCATGCATAACACGTTGTTTAATTAATTACTTCCGCGTATCATTTATCATGCATTACAGCTCATTAGCAGGTCATCTGGGATGTCTGAACAGGATGAGAACAACGTGTTTACTTTAGGAAAACTTTAATACACATTTCATACAGGTGCCTCTGGCTCCTTTCCTAATCGACTGTTGGAAGCTACACAATCTGATGGTACCTACACATGGAGTCTCGTTAGGCACTGCATTTAATATGAAATCCCCTTCTCCATTTCAGCCTCTATAGTAAGAATAAACCTCTCTCTATCCGCTGTTTGATGTCTCTGTATCCTCACCGGTTAGATCAGCAATGAATTCTCTGCATTATTATTGGACAACTCTATTCAAGCTTTCAAAGGAATGCCAGTATGATATTTTTCTTTAGGCAAATACTTTGAGTTTGCCATTTCACCATGAGCCTTTGTGGCAGGCATTCTCTGCTTAGCATTTAAAAAGATTTGACTCTCTGGATGGACTCCATTTGAGCAGCATCTTAGTCTCTTCAAGAACTTTTCTGCATGACAGGGCTACGGTGTTACATTTGATAACCATGACTTAAAGATACAACATACATTAAGGGGGAGAGGCGTTTTAATTGAGCATATTCACACTCAAAACTTGTCTGGGAGGTTTGCTGCCTAATCAAAGACTGGTCTTTATAGTCGAAATAAAAGTGAAATGGTTTTCTCACAATATATGCTTAGTCAGCTTCACAAACCTAAAGCGGAGAATGCATAAAAGACCATGTGCCTGTGGGAGTGTGTTTTTGTTCTTAAACAGCATGAGAGCCAAAGCAAATATCCATGTTTAAAGCTTAAAAATCAGTTCATGCTCTCTTAGTGGAGCTTGCAGGAAGCTGTTCCTTCTCTGCATTATTGTTTCTGGTGGTTAGACACTGTACATCCTAAGCACACAGCCAAGACAAACAATGGAAAGTCTTTTTTTCTCCAAAAAACAATCTGGGGAGAAAACCTGAACTGATTGATTCATTTGCGAGTGTGCCTCTTACTGATTCAGTGTTCCGGACTAAGCGAGTCTTAAGTTAACAGATCTCTGAATTGGTCATGTCCAACTCAAAATGAGACAAAAAAATTTAGTAAGCGATTTTTGGCTAGACTAAGCTATAAATGTGACTTTATGTCGATAGTCTAGGCAGACAGTGATTGGAAACACCCTCCTGAGATTCAACAGAACGCTACTGTCAAACTGACACATGTATCATCCAATCATGAGAAGATGTGACTATAAGCCCCACCCCCCATCACCTGCATTGCTCTGCTGGGTGCATGGACACTTGAAAGATGTAGTTTGTCTAATTTGTTCCAAAAGATATGCCATAGCAGAGGTGTTTGCCTGCGTTTTGTCTCCTCACTTCATCAGTAATTACCTGAGCTGTCCAACAATGAAAACATTCAATTAATTCTCTGCATGTGTTGTCTTTTGTGGCATTATTGTGGAATGGGGGAAAAAACACCCACACATCTCTCTTCAGGGGCCGTATGGGACCTGCCTGTCTCTTCTCCGTCTCCTCAAAGGCAGATGAACAAAGATCAAACAGGCTGGCCAATGGAATTAACTTTGAATATTCAAGCTGCATGGGTACAGAGAGACGCCACGTAACTGCCAGCCCATAATTCCCTCAAAAGGAATGCTAAGCCTCAAATCATAAAACAGCCACCCATTTAAAAAATAAAAAGCAGGAGAGTTTCCGTTGCTGTCAGTCAAGGCAATCCTCAAAGAGAAAAGCTGAAAGAAGCGAACCTAAAAGGTAGCTGTGCATTAAAAAGACTCTAAAGCAAACTTAACGAGACATTCAACATAACTGGGATGTTTCATAACTACTGCAATGAGGATATGAAGCTCTATGCAGGTAATTAAGTCTGGCTATTAGAAAAATGCACAAGCGGAGAGATGTTGTAAAAGCAACACTGATTATGATGGGAAGTACAGCAGGTGGTGTATGGATTTGCTGCCATTTACAGAAATGAGCATTTAACGCCTGGTGGGCAGGTGTAATTGTACACATAACCTTCAGAATTTCATGGCCACCAACATCTCGTCGCTGGGAGAGATATAACATAAGCTCACTATATATAATGGTGGTTGGGCTTTATTGCTGGCACACATCTTTTCAGGCCTGACACCGGAATATAAAAATTCCTTTATACTTGAGGATATCAAAATTCTCAGGCAATTTCACAAACAGTCCAAGCATGATTTCAAACCAGAGCAGAATTAAAACTAGACTATTACTAATGTAAAAGTGACCAGGGCTAGTTGTCACACTAATG